GCATGTTAAACTCCGGTCTACTAGGTCATAACTAGGGAAGACACTCACACTAGGGTGCATTTGGAGAAGGTTTTGCAAACTCATCCCATACCCGTGGTTTTCGAGTACTGGTTGGTAATATTCGTCCCGTACATTTAACATTATAATATCCACAAAGAGACAATCATTCTTAATACGATTCAAAGCATCTTATCCTAAAACATTTATTAATCCATAAGATATATAGAGTAAAATGTAATCCAAATCATTATTCTTTGACTCTGAATATCTACTATGTAATAACTAACTAACATAATCTTGTTAACACGAGGAAAAAAATGAAAGAGTGAAGGGAGAGTTGAAGAATTAGGCTTTTCATTTGGGTGGCCACTCAATTGCATGTCTACTATTTGTTTTCTTGAATTACTCTCACTATCATTGATAGGTTACAATTTGATTTATGTGTTTAGTACATGTGAAGAAATGCTCTTGGTAGGCGGAGGCTTTGAGTGTCTGGAGTTTTGGGAGGTCGCCATAAAAGTCAGGAGAGGTCTCCCACGAAGCTAGAAGCGTCGTTGAAGCCTTATCGGAGCCTCGCCGGAGTTTCGTCGGAATCCCGTGACGGCGACGACGTCAACTCCGACGTCAACCATTCTTTAAGTGGTTGGTACCGTTGCGAAGAAGGCGATCCCAGGAGCACGCACGTTTCGACGGAATCAATTATCGACGTCGGACGAGGGAGAAACAAGCCTCGCAAGTTGGCTACGTAGAACTGTCAGTTTCTGAAAGTCAGGTACTGTTTCTGTCAATTCGAAGTGTTTGAGGACCTGGAAGGAAGTTTTCCATAGGAAGGGTCAACTCTACCATACCCGTCTCATATGGGTCAAGGGAGGCTAAAACCATACCCGTCTCATACCCATCAAACGTTTTCCAGATTTTACCTATACCCCCTACCCAATCAACGTAGGGATTCCCCCTGTTGACTGGGTCGAGGGCAGTCGGGTACCCTCGGTAATGGGTCTGATTGCCATCCCTAGTCATAACAGACGGTCTAGAAGCCCAAGGGGATAGGCTCGTGAAGGAGAGTTAGGATATCCGCCAGGCAACCTTGGAACGACCCTGATGAGTGATGACCCTCTACAAGTGCGGCAAAGCATTCATCCGCCTAGCAAGTGCTACTACAGGATCGCTGCTATCGTCGAGAATCAAACACACAATCTCTCGATTGATTGTGCACCATTTCACAAGTTAGGCCAACCCTCATTGGTCGTTATTCACTATATCAAGGTTCAAGAAGGCGCTAGGCGTAAGGGGGGCGTTGAGTCTTTGCCTAGCGCCTAGCTCGCCTAAGCGTAGACTAAGCGTGTCTAGGCGTTGGAAGAAAAATAGCTATTCACAATGCATGATGAATGAAATAATAATTTACAACACCTTTTCACTTAAGTTAAAATGATTAATAACTTACTCAACACTTAATGACAAGAACATAGCTCACGAATTCATAGAATCATAGATCAATAGCTCACAAAGTTCTTGAGCTATTGAAAAATATTGATATAGAAAATTCATTTTGTAGTTAACATTAACTTCCTCATTTAATATTGACTTCCTATCTCCATCTAGTAATGTTTAGGAGAGACTTAGATGTCGCCTCACTCCATTCACGTGTTCCAGTATCTAACTAGGCGCGAAACCCCTAGGCGAGGCGTTTTGTCATTGCCTTGCGCCTAGGTGTGCCTAAGCGTAAAGTTAAGCTCGCCTTTTTGGACCATGCACTATATTATAACTGGAAAATTTAATATATCTGAATAATATTATTTGAAAAATGACATTCTTTGTTGTATGCCCGGAATTATCTTTGAAAATATGAATGTAGAAGTTGAAGAATTAATTTTGAAGGTAAAGTATTACAGAAGATAAAGTATAAAAATTAAGTGACTAGATTAATTTTTTAATGAGAAGTATTTTTCTATTATTTTGAAGTTAAGAGTATTTAAGAAGAATTAAAATTAAGTGATGAGATTGAACTATTAGCCAGAGTAAACTAAATAGAGAAAAATAGTGAAACTTCTCGCCATTGGGTATTGAACCCAGTTACCCAAGCCCACTTGTTACATGAACCAAACAATCAATCATTCCACTGATCTAACATAAGGTTGTGTAATTCTTCATTTTAAAAACTTTTAGTTAATACAAATTTCAAAATATTACCATCATTTATACGTGATGTTCAAAATTCTCAAGATGTCGGGTCCTTAAGAATCAATGTAGCTTCGCCGCTAGTACCAGAATATTTGTATCATTGCATAGTTGAGATAAATGTTTCATTTTTATCCAATATAGACTAGTTCGGATCTCTAAGGTTTAAAGTTTCAATTTTGGTTAATGAAATGCTTTTCTACCCTACTCCAGTTGCACAAATCTTTGAGCAATAAATTCTGGTTTTCAAAGTTCTAGATACATTTGGTTTGGATACACAAACCAACCAATATACTAAACAACTTACACGAAGAATCAAGAAATTAAGTATAATAAACTGCCTTAAGCACACAGCACAAACGTATCTCTAAGATCATGTTGATGACCAATTCTTACATTACTAGTGAAAGGCATGATCTTATCATACAAGGATGACCAGCCAGCACGTTTTGTGACCAACCCAAAAAAGACCAAATATTTTTCTTTGATCCCATTTTTCCAAATAAATTCTTCATTACAAATAGCCCTTTGGAATTGTCCAATCCAATAGACCCAACAACCTTTCATTTCTCCTCAAAAGAGAGATGGCCAAAACCAACTTGATCATTTCCTTCCTCCTCCTCCTCTCTTTCTTTTCCTCATCTCTTGCGGATTACTCAACACCAGACTCCATTTGCAGCTTAACCCCACACCCAAACTTTTGCAAATCCTTCTTGCCCTTCAGCAACAACAACCCTCTAGCCCCATCATCTCTCCATGACTATGGAAGATCCTCACTCTCCCATTCCTTATCCCATGCCCAAGATTTCCATTCCATGGTTGACCATTTCTCAAGTGCCATTCCTTCCACTTCCTACTCAAACCCCCTTCAAGACTGTCACCTCCTCTCTGAGCTCAACATCGATTACCTCTCGCAAGCCTGCGAGGCTGTAAAGGGTAAGGACACGTTCCTCGAGGACTACGAAGCCGATGACCTCATGACATGGCTCAGTTCCACCATCACCAACCAAGAAACTTGCTTGGAAGGTCTTTCACAATACTCAGCATCACCTTCATCATCCTTCAAAAATGCCATGTTCCCACACCTCTATGATGGGGAACTTTACAACAGTGTCTCCCTTGCACTGTTCAAGCACGGGTGGGTACGAGATGATTACCAGCCATCTGATGCTGGCAATAACGGCAGGTGGCTGGCTGAGAGCGAGCAGATCGTGTCGAAACTGGCCAGGAGCAGAAGCCACCACCTCCTGCCGAGGAGGAGCCACCGCCCCACGAAAGGGAGGAGCCTCGTCGTGGCGGATGGGATTCAAGTGAGTCAGATCGTTGTGGTGAATCAGTACGGGACGGGTAATTTCAGCACCATCAGCGACGCGGTCGCCGTGGCGCCTAACAACACGGAGCTCGTCGATGGGTACTACGTCATCCACCTGATGGCCGGCGTGTACGAAGAGTACGTCTCGATTCCTAAGCAGAAGCGTTACATTATGCTGATCGGAGACGGGATCAACCAGACCGTCATCACGGGGAATCGAAGCGTGGTCGATGGTTGGACCACCTTCAATTCCGCCACATTTGGTAAGCTAGCTCAAGCTTAATTCAGTCAACTCTTTTCTTTTGCCTTCATATGAATCAAGCACAACATACATTTAGCCTTAATGTTTATTACAACAGTAGTTTCCTATAGATGTCATTAATGCCTCTATGTTGTTAATCACTAGCTCAATTGATCTACATCTTAATTGTCTATCTATCTATCCATGGCCAGCCGTGCTAGGCCGAGGTTTTGTGGCGGTGAACGTGACATTCAGGAACACGGCCGGACCATCCAAGCACCAGGCCGTGGCGGTGAGGAACGGCGCCGACAAGTCGACGTTCTACAGCTGCAGCTTCGAAGGCTACCAGGACACACTCTACGCGCACTCCCAGAGGCAGTTCTACAGAAACTGCCACATCTACGGCACCATCGACTACATCTTCGGCAACGCGGCGGCGGTGCTGCAGAACTGCAATATCTACTCGAGGCGCCCCATGGACAACCAGTTCAACACGGTGACCGCACAGGGCAGGACCGACCCGAACCAGAACACGGGCACGTCGGTCCAAAACTGCGCCGTTTTGGCGACTGAGGACTTGAAAACTTCCAATGTGACTACAAAGACGTACCTAGGGAGGCCGTGGAAGGAGTACTCGACGACGATCGTGATGGAGTCTTTTGTCGACGGGTTGATCGATCCTGCTGGCTGGACTCCGTGGAACGCGTCGAGCTTCGCGCTCGACACGCTCTACTACGCGGAGTTCAATAACACGGGCCCCGGTTCGAGCACCCGTGACAGGGTGCACTGGCTGGGGTACCATGTGGCTAATGAGACCGATGCTAAGAATTTTACGGTTTCCAAGTTCTTGGGAGGGAATTCGTGGCTGCCGCAGACTGGAGTGCCTTACACTGCTGGCTTGAACTAAGCTTGTGATCGCCCATTATATGTGCCTTATGATTTTATTTTATTTTTGTGTTTTGCACTCTCAAGAGTTGATTTGATGTATTGATATTAACTTTGGAGTTTGGACTAATTTGTACACTGGACAATTCATTGAAGGAAAATAGTATGTTGCTTGAATTTTTTTTAAAGTTTCTGATTTATTAAGACGATGAAGTTATACAAAATTCAGATTGAATTTAGGAAATTTTCTACATGGGTCAATCCAATTAAAAATTTAGTTGATATTAAAACTTTCATTATCAAATATTTAGTGGTGTGTTTGTATGATACGAACTACCTCACAAACATGCTACTTTATGAGGTGTAATACAAACAAGTTATTCGGTTTGGTGCATTGTATTAATATTTTGATCATAACCTCTCGAGCGAAGACCAACTCATAGATCTGAAATTTGCATAGTCTAGTTCAAATAAAGTGTTAATATTAAGATCGACCCATAATGTCCAACAATTCTCTTCAATGCTATGGAGGAACTGACGTACCGCCGTAAATGACATTCAGAACTAATCGTCAAAAATCGCTCCTTCCCATTCTCAGTCCATTCGAAGAAATTAGAATCACTTCCGCTTAAAAACAGTGACCTCCACCAAATTGTGACGGTCAAACTGTTCACGTAAAACAGTCCCAAGTTACGTCTGCAGGTAAGACGCGCTGGTATCTCTCTAAGTTGAACACTCGTACAGGAATCCGGTCCACCAAGAGCAACTCCGAAACTGTTCGAGCCTCTGATCAATGAATCACAGCCTTGAGGGGATGTGCTCTGAGATTCGACAGGTCAAGGTGCGCATCAAGTTCCTCATCGAGTTCCCCAATAACGCTTCTGCCACGATCAAAGTATCAAAATATCAGAGACTAAGCAAAGAGAGAAGTAGAAACCGAGGCAAAGAGAATAAAGGTGCAACAAGAACTTACATGTTATCACCCCTTATTATGTACAAACCCAAAACCAGTTGTTGGACGCCTTCCTGGAGAAAAACGAACAGGCATCTACTGAGTCAACTGAAACACATACATTTCTATATCTTCTCCGCCTGATTTGAGGGAATGACCTCTCAACTTTCAAGTAACGGAGAACAGAAAGGAGGAGGGAGAACTCATTGTGACCCGAAATTCGGATGGACACCTGATGCAAATATGTTACAAATGTAATTTGGATTCTTGAAAAATAAAGAATCAAACATTTACCGGTGAGCTGAAAACAAAGAAATGTGATGCATGCATTCAAAGTACAGAAGACCCCTTAATGGCTTCAATCTAATCAAGACGAAGGGAAGAAATCAGGAGAAGGATTCAAACCTTAGTGGAATAAACACGTTCATGAGATTCATCAAGGATGATATTCGTGGCCTGATCAAAGCCTTTCAAGATGCCCTAAATTACCCAAAACATAAAAGAGGTTAGTACACATTATTGGAGATCATATAGCAGCAAATAACACCACTTCTATTCCCATCAACTTTTGTGTCTCACAAACAAGACTACACCAATGAGGTTGGGATCAAGCGTAGTAACTACACTGAAAAAGTGTACTAAATACACAAATGCACGTAAAGGTCAGGGGTCAGGAGTCATGACATACCACTATGTTGCGGCCATCATTTGTGATCACGGAAATGGTTTCTGCACAGAGAAGAGCAAGGATTATTTAGACCATCATAAAAGGGCACAGACACAGAAACTAGTATCATTAGCCACCACAGGATTCATAAACCAACGCAGACCTCTTTTCTTTCACTCCTCATCCAGCATTATATTGTTCATCAGAGCTCAAGATTCTTATTGTTTTGGTTTCTGACAAATGAAGTAGACTCGATACGTAGAGCTATTCATTGCTAGTCGTGCCAAAGTAAAAACAAACTAAAACATGCACATTAAGCAGAACGTAACTCACAATCATGAATCTCTAATTCGGGAAAGGATGATATTTCATGATCTCACAAGCACGAGTTCTTGAAATTTCCTCAATAATATTCATTGAAAAATTCTACTCAATATTGACACATACTTCATCAGCAGGGACAAAAGAAATAAAATACTAATTGCATGGAAACCCCTAGATGATGATTAGAACATCAATCCAATTTGCCACTGCTAAAGTAACCCAATCTTGTTCCTTCTTTAGGTCTCTAGCCATACCCATAAACTGTAGATTCATGTCTAAAAAACACTAAAAACGGGATGAGAACAGTGTCTATTAAGAGTAACTTACGATCAACAAGAGACTCAAGCCCAGGTCCAGTAGCCATTCTGCAACTCTCAGAAGTAAGGTTGAGACCCTACCCTGCTATGATCGTTAACTGCACAAGGAAACAGAAAAGGAAGATAAAAAAAAACAAACCCCCTGGCTGCACCAGAATAAAACAGTTTTAGGCACCAAATAATCAACAGAAGAAAAAAAAGCCCACGGAAAGGGTTAGATGAGCCAAAATTTATCATAATAATCCAAAAGGTAGAGATGGCAGGACATGGCCTATGGCATACTAGACCAAATAAATCAACAAGAAGAAACTAATAAGGCAGCAGCATATAGGTAAAACACCAAATGATTCTGACTAATGCAATCAAAAGCACGATTCTACCTAGAAACGGAACGATGGGTAAAAGTATAGAGCTTAAAAGCATAAACTTTTGATGCATCATGTAAAAATAAAATACCTAAAAATCTGCTAAGTAGGACATGTATCCTGTAAATTTTGAATGTGCAGACCTTATGTAAGTGAATAAATACCTATAAATGTAACTTGTCATACACATTATATAATTTGAGTCGCTTTTGACGTAGAGCAAAATCATAAGTCAAGTCATAGCAACAAACTCATAAACATAGAATACAAGTCAAAGGTCACATAATAGCATAAATCAAAAGTCACAAATGAGTTTTAGAATCCAAATTTCCGAAATCAAAGCATACAAATGTTCTCAAGGATAAAAAGAACTAAACAAGTCCCTTGGCTTCAAGGTTTGCATTTATCAAACCCAAATATTCCTTGTAATCTCAATTCTCAAATCTATACAACTGATTTCTTCAATCTTCATTCATTATCAAATATATGTAATGTCAAATCTATCAAATATTCTTTGACTAACTTCCTTCGTTTAATCTCAAATATATTCTGCAACATCACTTCACTTTCATGAAAAAATAAAGAACTGACCAACCTAATTAACTAAGCAACAGGGGAGAACTTACAGAGATAATCAGCAAGATGCAGGCGCAGCAGATTGGAAGTGAGGCGGAAGAGGCAGTGTAGTGGTGATCTGGTCTGGCACTCCAGGCGGCAGCAGTGGCCCAGATTCTGGAGCCGGCAGCGGTGGAGACAAGGCGGAGCAGTGGTTGTCTACTCTGGAGCCGGCACAGCCGTGAGCGGTGCCGAGGCTGAGCAGTGGGGAACGAACTCTACACGGTGATGTCCGCCTGGCTGGTGGACGAAATCCGTGGGTGCTGGGACCGTCGATGGACGACCAGATGCTAGCAGAGGAGAACGGCGATATCTACAGGCGGGTGAATTCGGAGTGGTGAGAAAGCAGAGAGAAGGAGTTCGTCGGCTGTAGAGAAATTAGGTTCTGGCTGCTGGGATTGTGAGTGTTCGTTATGAAGAAACAGATAATCGGATAGATAAACAATCCAACTTACCGATTCAGGCGACAACGAACTGAGGAGGCAGAGGTTTCCTTGCCGCTGGAGGAGGGATGGCCGCTTTTCGAAGTCGACGGGTGAAGGACGGATGGTCGATGTGGATCAGTGAACTATCGCTCTGCTTTGCTATTGAGAGCGCCGCTGGTGGACTGAGAAGAACGGGATTGAAGATGGAAGACTCTGCGAATTCCGAAGGGTGAGGACGATTAGGGTTCTGCAGTTCTGCTTCTGCCTGATTTTTTCTTTCTCAGTAAATTGCTCCAACGACGCCGTAGTGGTAGTGGTTGTAATGTAGGCAAACAATTGGCCCAGTTTACTTTGACTTTCGTTTTCTGTTTTATGTTGTCAAAACAAAAATTTGGAAACGAAAAGCAGAAAACGTGTTTACTTTGATTTTTGTTTTCATGGTATGCTCAAATTCGAGCGTTTATGCAGTATGCACGAGGCATTTGTTTCAGGAACAAAACCAATTAGTACTTTGAGACAGTCAAGGTAGCTCAATTTTGGATGACCGTTTGCACTTTGTTTCTGGTCCATGGGTTTCATTGATAGAGTAGGGCTCGGAGATTCCACTGACCGAGTAACCGGTGGATAAAGGGTTGAGGAAAAGTTATTTAATCCATCGAGTGTGTTGATGATTCAAGAATTCGTGTTAATCCGATGTTATGCTTGGCTTGTCTGAGCCCAGTGGTTCACGTATGGCAGTTTTTTTATATTAGGAGAAATTCTTCTTGCGACGACAAACTCCGGTCTACATAGATACTCGGCAAACTCTGTGAGCATTTAATACGAGCTTACAGCCCTGTCGGTGGTCACCAAGGGGGTAACGCAGAAGTGGCGGCTGCCAAGGATCGAACCCAGGACCTCCTGGACACAATCTTGCGCTTATACCAGTTTTTCCTTGCAAAACAAGTCACATAAAGAAATCAAAGTGAACAAAAAAGTTAAGGAGAAGATACTCATGCATTGAAATTTTATCAAAATATGCATACACAAAGTCCGAGCCAATAGAATACAGTATTTCTCCTTAACGAATTTAGTTCCCCCCTAGACCTCTACGGTACCCAAAGTTAATAGCACTATTCCTCACAGAATAGAACGAAAAGCGTTTGTTATTTTCAACAAAGCCAATAGAAAGATGGACTGAGACCATCGAGTTGAGTGTTTGAGGAACCCTTACTCCTTGTGTTGCCATTCAAGCCTGTTAAGTTTTTGCTTGTACTTCACGAAATGCAATCTCAACATTTATTTTTGTTTGAAGAAAAAGAATCTAGGACCAAGTTGGCATAGAAAACTAATGTAATGATCTAACTAGGGCTGGCAATCAGTTTCCCGGTTAGCGGCTAACCGGTCGGTTTCGACCGAACCGACCGGTTTTCGGCTAACCGGAAACCGTCATTAATAATATTCGGTCGGTTGTCGGTAGGGAGGGGAGAAGGCTCGGCTAGCCGACCAACCGAGGTCGGAAACCGGCGGTTAGCCGACTAACCGAGCCTTTACCCAGCCTCCTAAACGACCCGTCACCCCTCAAAACGACCCCCTCAAAACGACCCCCAAACCCTAGCCGACCTCTCTCTTCTCAACCCTTTCACCTCTCAAAATGAAAAGTGAAAACCCAGCAGAAGAAGAAGAAGAAAGAAGAAAGAAATCCGCCGCCCTCCTCCAGTCCTCCATCGCCGCGCCTCCAGTCCGCCATCGCCGCCGCTCCTCCAGTCCGCCATCGCCGCCGCGCCTCCAGTCCGCCATCGCCGCCATGCCCTTCGAGTTCCGCGCCGTCGCCGGACGACTGGCCGACCTCACGGGAGACCAGCTCGCCCTCGCGGTCAACGACAACGCACGCATGCAGCCTCCTCTCCCGCGCCGTCATCGCCTCCGTCGTCCTCCTGCCGTGGATTGGATTTCGGTGGCCGTCAGGTGAGCGCCTCCTCTCCCGCGCCGTCATCGCCTCGTCGTCCTCCGTCGTCCTCAGCAGGCGAGCTTCCTCCCCCGCGCCTTCGTCGTTGGCGAATGGGGACTCTCAGATCTAAAATGGAAGGAGGAGCTAGGGGCTCCTGCTTTTTTCAATTTGAGAGATGGAAGGAGAGAGAAGGCAGATCTAAAATGGAGAAAGGTAAGGAGAGAGAGTGACTGTGAGGAAGATGGGGATGGTTTTCTTTAATGTATTTTTTTTATTAGTTAAACACAATCGTTTTGAAAAGAAGGGGGTCGGTTTTCGGTCGGTTAGATCAGTAGACCGAACCGACCTTCCCTTTTTTCGGTGTAGGCGGTTTAACCGTGCCTTAACCGAAATCGCCCGGTCGGTTTTCGGATAACCGAGGTGCCAGGGTCGGTCGGTGGCCGGTGGTGATGGCCAGGTCTCGGTTTAACCGAAAACCGAGATTTTGGTTTTCGGTTAAACCGAAACCGACCGGGTGACAACCCTAGATCTAACCTAAATCAACAGGGTAGTCTAGGTAGTTTGTTTTACTAGCCATCTTGTCTCTCCAAGTTAAAGTCATTGTTTACAAAACCATATCGGAGTCATATATACGAACTTGTTTGTGGTAATTTTAATGGTATGATCATGGTTCAACAGTTTTGTACCATTTCGACAACAAGTTTAGCCAGTAGTCTCTCAAACGAAGGTAACCAAACCAATAATGACTTGGTGGTTAGTCTGAGCCCTGAGGGAAGTGGCTGACTCGGTTTAAACTCAGTGGTCACTCAATGGGAACAAGAAAGAGACTCGATGTTGACATGGCGCCTTGAGAGTAAACCATTCACTCTCTCTAGAAAAGTGTTTATGTGATATCTCCTCCTATACTTACCAGGGTCGAAAGCCATCTTTTGTAACCCTACGTTTAGCTTTGTAGTTTGTACTAATTGTCCTTTTTTGTGTAACAATTTCAAGAGTGGCTAAAACTCTTCCTCGCATTTAGGAAAGGTAGCAGAGTAGAAGTTGTACTGAGTTAGGTCCAATTAGAGCAACTCCATTTTTGGCATTAATCAACAAATCCATCTAATTTTTTCCTCTTCAATTCTCTTTGACCTCTTCCAATTCCTAATCCCCACCAAACACCTCAGAATTCCTTCAACTGACTTTAACTAACTTTTGAAACCATCAAATAAATTTCCCTCCACAAAAAGAATAAAGTATAAGTAATCTCTTTTCCTCAAATCTCCAAATCAAGCGAGGTTTTTTAGGCTTTGAAGAGGGAGAGGCCAAACTAAGGCTTTTCAATAAAAAAAAAAAAAAAATTAAGGAACCCTCTTCCTTGAAACCTCATTAGCTAGCTCCTATCTAACACAGATAAACAAAAAACAAAAAAACAAAAAAAAAATCTTACTGACCAATCAAAGAAGAGGAAAAATTTACAAAACAAATACACATTTAAAGAAAAATATCCAAAAAGAGCCCTTGCATATTTTCCCCCTTCAAATAGAGATTTAAAGAGAAAATAGAAAGGAGAAAAGAAGAAAAAGTCGGGATTTAAAAAAAAATTGACAAGAAAAGAGTAGAACTAGGATGGGGGACGATGGAGGAAAGAAGCGGATTGTAATTATAGGAGTGTCATCCATCCTTCTGGTGGCGATGGTGGTCGCTGTGACGGTCGGAGTCGGAAAAGACAATGAAGGCGGCGATAGTGAGGAGATCGCGGGTGGGAGCGGTGGTAACAGCGCCGAGACCATAGCTTCTTCAAAGAAAGCAATCACGGCCATCTGTCAACCGGCCGATTACAAGCAGTCATGCGAGCAGAGCCTCGAGAAATCAGCCGGGAACGCCACCGACCCAAAGGATCTCGTCAAGGTTGCCTTCACCATCGCGCAGAAGAGCATCGGCGAGGCGATGAAGAAGTCCGACACGCTCAAGGAGCTCGACAGCGATCCCAGGACTCACGAGGCTCTCATCACCTGCAAAGAGCTCATGAACATGTCCATAACCGAGCTTGAGGATTGTCTCACCAGGGTCGGTATAGTTAAAATAATGATCTAGAGTTTAGAAAATTTTATAATTAGATTAATTAACGTGATTTCAATTCATAGCCCTTCCTGCATGTGATTACAAACATTTCAAATTTTAGCACAGTTTATGATTTGAAAAAAAAAAAAAAAAGTGTTAATAAAAGTCTCTATCATATTAAACTTACGGTGAAAATTTTTTATTACCTTGATGATGAAGGTATCAGATAACTTCGATTTCAACAGAATCGATGACTTCATGGCGGACCTTACGACGTGGCTTAGTGCGGCGATGACATATCAAGAAACTTGTTTGGACGGATTTGTAAACGTGAGCACGGTGGCAGGAGCCAAGATGAAGGAGTTCATGAATACATCAATGATGCTGACCACCAATGGTCTTGACATTGTGACTGGACTAAACTCCCTCTTCTCTTCTTTCCAACCAGCTGACCAGCCCGGCTCAGCCCGCCGTCTCCTCAATGCGGATGGAAGCGTCACGTTGCTCCCAGTCCTCGGACACGGATACCACCCATTCCCCAACTGGGTTCCTGACAGGTTCCGAAGACTTCTTCAGGAGGACTCCGACGACGACGACTCCAAAAATAAGGATGATGGTCACAAGGAAGATTCCGACGACGAGACCGAAAAGGAGAAGAAGAATAAGGATGATGGTCAAAAACAAAAAGAAGACCCCGATGATGAAACCGAGATCAAAGATGAAGCGTCAAAGGGTAAAGTGGACTTCTCCAAGAATCCTGTGGATATCGCCGATGTTGTCGTGGCTGACGACGGAAGCGGTGACTGTAAGACCGTCAACGACGGCTTGAAGCTCTTGGAGAAGGCAAAGAAGAAGAAGAAGGACGACGAGGTCGTTGTGCTCTACATTAAGGCCGGTACCTACAAGGAGTACGTTGAGGTGACCAAAAACCTTGACAATATGGTCATGATCGGAGATGGTGCCGATAAAACCGTCATCACCGGCGATAAGAACTTCATCGACGGTGTTAGCACTTACCACACCTCCACTGTCGGTAAGTTAAATCAATCAAGTTTCTTTCTACACTAATCTAGCTACTTAGAGAGAGTTACGTTTTAGGCTTTCTTTCTTTCCCCTCCCCTGTTATTTATTTCACACTCTGTTTCTCTCCCTGCTCCACCAGCCATCGCCGCCGACTACTTCTTCGCCAAGAACATTCGAATCGTGAACAGCGCCGGGGCTGAGAAGCACCAGGCCGTCGCCCTCAGAGTCTCCGCCGACTTCGCCATCTTCTACAACTGTACATTCGACGGGTACCAAGACACTCTGTACACCCATACCAAGCGCCAATTCTACCGCGACTGCACAATCTCCGGCACAATTGACTATATCTTCGGTGACGCCGCCGTCGTGTTCCAAAACTGTGTCTTCCTGGTCCGAAAGCCCATGGAGAATCAGCAGTGCATCGTCACGGCCCAAGGACGAAAACAACGCCACCAGCCCTCCGCCATCATCATCCAGAACGGGACAATCATAGCCGCCCCGGAAATGCAGGCCGACAGGATGAAGTTCAAGACGTATTTGGGCCGGCCCTGGAAGAATTACTCCAGGACCATTATCATGGAGAGTTACATCGGCGATCTGATTGACCCCGAAGGTTGGATGCCCTGGATGGGCACCGTCGGTACCAAAACTTGCTGGTACGGCGAGTTTGGCAACTACGGCCCCGGCGCCGATCAAAGTAAGAGGGTGACGTGGAACGGGATTAAGAAGATTACACCGCAACATGCCGTCGATTTCACCCCCGGTCGCTTCCTTCGGGCTAACGAGTGGGTTAAACCCACGGGGATTCCGTATGTCCCGTACATGGTCAAGCCGTCCACGTCGCGGCGGGTAAATGTGGAGTAAAAGAACAAAAGGATGATGCCAACTAATTTGATATACACATAATTTGGGAACATATTGGAAGATTTTTTTTATTTTTTTATTATCGTGTAATTGTTTGTTGTAATTTATTTTATTTTTCAATTGATTCTTACTTTATGTTATTTGATACTTGACTGACCCTTCTTTCGAATTTTATACTTTGTAGGATCGTTCAAATGACGATCCATTTTAATTTAATTTCATACTTTTAGTTAAAAGTTTTGTTTCCATAGAAAATGAACCTCTTGTTTGTGCAAGAATTTTCAATTGATGCTCTCAATATGTTATATTCTCTTAATGTTAAATTACATCTACTTCTTCTAGCTGCTCCAAACATATTTACGTATCAAACGCAACTCTTATGTATATAGTAGAACAAAAAAATATCGCAAATCCCTTTCCAGTTACAAAGCAATAAGCTGCTCTTGATTCACCCCTGCTCTCCAAAACAATAACTAGAGAGGAAGGATCTCATAGTATTTCCCCCAAATCCATTATGTTTATATCGACTTGATTAGCGCTGTTAGACAGTTTGATTATAATCGCAATCGTTTAGTTGGTTATCGGTTAACCATTAAGTAATATGTGATTACTGTTAACTGTGTGATTTATATTAGTTACTTAACCATAACTGTATAGTAAGTTATCGGTTATTTTGTCGGTGAATTGGATCGTTAAGCAAGTGATTAAGGTTAGAACAGAATAATTTATTGGTAACTTAACAAACATAAGACCTTTTTTTCAATTGTACATTTTGATAAAAAAATTCCTCCATATGCATGTTTTTTTTAGTTCTTATCATCGAATAACAAATAATTTAACACACACACACACAAATTAATTTTTAATTATTTTTATTGTAATTATGAGCCAATTAATAATTACTAATAATTATAATTACAACTCACATCCAAAAATTAATTGTTATATAAGTTTTAGTCCCATCAATTTTTGTCATTGATTAGCATCTAATCAATCATATAACTATCGGTTATATAAACTGTTGCACCTTATTTTTCCGATTCATAAATTTAAAACACCCAAATTGTTTGATTAAACATAAAAATCCAATTATTATTTCTAATATCCAATCCAATTTTATCCTCACCTTTGTCTCACAAAACTTCCCCGTGCACCAGTATTATTTGAATGGGGAGGATTGTTTGTTTTTCTGTCTTTCCAGCTCTGTTCGTGGTGTTGGCCGGAGATGGGTTTGCCATGATGATAGTGGTGGTGGGTAGCTTCTCTTTTGTCTCTCTATTTATGTTTGCGGTGGTGGTGTTGACGGATGTGTACGACGATGATGAAGAGTGCGAGCACTTGTTGAAGGCGGTGATGATTGGGAACTAGCTGTCAGAAGTCGAATCTGTTGTCCAGATTCTGGGGGGACAAGTTCCGGGTTGGCTCCAAGCCCACCATTGGTGTTACGTTCGCTTAAGCTCACGTACGCCAAAGATCCAGTGGAAAATGGAAATGAAGCGCTCCAGTATCTGTTGACAAGAAGGTTTCCGATTACTGAGGTGCTACATCTCTCTTGGTGTCGATGGCGTGCGCCTATGCTTCTCCAATTTCAGTCTGTTGCACCTGCAGTCTTACCAATTTGTTGATCTGCACTTTTTAGGTTTTTACGGATGAACACTTTGAAGAAGATGACAAAAGAGAGTTTTGATCTGAAAAGTTTGCCCAAGAAACTCCAAGTTGTGTTTTACCAAAACGTTTAGTATAGTATAGGTGAAGTAATGGGCCAAAAATGAAGACGCCCACAAATTTGGTAAAACTCGTTTTTGTAGTGAGCCCACCGAAAAACATATTAATCAGACTAAGCCCACAAATTTGGTAAAATTCGTTCTTGTACCCACCCCACTAACCATAATAAAACCTATATCTAAAGAGCTTTCCGTTTGAGAGTCGATATCAACTACTAGTTATTTCGGACGAGAAATCTCGTCATCATGTTTTAAAATCAAGGTTTGCGAAA